TGTTTTGCCAAGCAGGAGGGTTTGGTGCCTGTGAGGTGGTCATCTTGGATACTGTAATTCTTCCAGTGTTAAATCCTATTTGAGCTGCTGATACCTAATTCAAGGGCAAGCTGATGTTCATATAACACCTTCATACCAGGCTTCTTTGCATATGTCCAGTCTGGGTGCTGGGGCCTCATTCAGCTCAGACTCTTGTCTTCTGCAGTTTCATGGGAGATTGGCAAGTGCTGTTTGCAAAAGATCCATTAGTTCAGACAGGGGAGAGGGGATTTCTGTGCCAGCTCCTCCCATATCCATACCCAGCTCTTTCTCTGTCTTGCTGTATCATTCTTCAGAAGTTCATTGTTTGTCTTGGTGCGATATCCCTGTCTGGTAAATTGGGATACTAGAAGGTTTTATGATGCTTTTAGAAACCTGGAAATGACATTGTCTGGTCTGGATTTTGTAAAGAAATCCTTCTGTTTGTTCTGCTGTAGCTTGGCTTGAGTTAAGGAGATTTCGTAGTAACTGTCTGGCCTTAAGGACACACCTCTGCGTGTGGTGCTCCGTAACATGGGCTGCAGTCTTGCAGGGTCTCCCACCCTGTGTTTCCCAGGGGCATGCAGGGGGTAGGGCTAAGGGCTTCTGCTGCACGGGCAGTTTTGGAGTGGGTGTTGCAGGTGTCGCTGTGGAAGAAGAGGTTGAATCATCTAGTAGGGAGCTGTGAGAAAGGCAATAAACTTACTAGTAATTAGTGACATTATAATAGTTACACATTTATCAGAGATCTGGCAAATTTTGCAGGTAGCATAAAACATAAATTAGATTAGTTAATACCAGGGCAGACTGTCAGGAACTTCCGAAGGATTAAGCAAGCCAGATGAGTGGGCAGCCTGATGACAGATAAAATGTGCCATCGATAAAACCCAAAGACTACACGGAAGGCAACAACTGGAGCTACTTAGTTCACTTGACTGTGAACTAAATGCAGCAGCTCAGGAAAGGGATCAAATATCCGATTCCTGTTACTATGTACCAGAAATCCAAAAAGCAAACAAGTGAGTATAACAAATGTCAAAACCAGTCGAGGAACTACTTGTTCAGCTTCTGCAAAACTAACCAGGGGTGTTCTTTACCGTAACACATTATCGAGCTTCAAATTCTGGAAATTCACAAAATCAGGCTGCCTATGTGTGACTTGCAAATAATACAATTGCAGCTGCTGTGCTGAGGCTGTGACCAGCAAGGTCACACCAGCAAAGTCTTTGCAAGGCAAGGTAAATTCCTGGCGGTTGTAGAAAGCAGGAGAGAAGGGGTGATTCAGCCCAACTGTGTCTCATAGTGAAGCAATGAGTCCCCCAGAAACCTGCTCTCCCTTCCTGCCTGTGAACCACCAAACTTCCTTCCCCCTCTGCTCTCCAAGGTTTTATCGTGTGGTTTTCAGCCACATGAAGATTTTGGATGTGGTTCACAGCGCTGAGGAAAAAAAAAAAAAGAAGTGTCTGTGGCTAAAAAGGCTAGTCAGATATTTGTAACAGCAAATACTAAGAACGAAGCCTCCTAGAGCTGCAAAGGAATAAATGCTTCATGGTTTTATGTTTCAACTGAGTTCAAGGGAAAGAGCTGAGACAAAGCTTTCTCCAGGTTGGTGTTTTCCCATTGTTGGGTTTCTTGTGACTCCTGACAGTGATGGCCTGTTTTGGGGCCATCAGGTCTCTGAATCTGGTACTGCCTACAGTAGCACTGATGCTGCCATGGCTGTGCCGGTTCCTCTTGCTCTGAAGAGTGTTTGCAATGGTTGCACAAACTTCAACAGATGTGTTCTAGTAGAACACAGCAAATAATAACCTTTCAAAAATGCATCACATAACTGAACTTTTATCTCTTTGTGTGTCTGTTTGAAAGAACTATTTCCTAAATTAGTCTCCAAGCTCATAATGGCCACTTAGCCTCCTGGGTTTCAAATCATCTCAGTATTAGATGGGAGCTGTGACACTGTAGGAGGTGTAAGTTGCTAACTACAGGATTATGAATTCCACAGTGCTCTGGAAGAGGAGCCCAGATATGCTGACACAAACTCCAACTGTGGATATTAGAGGGATCTGGTTACAGCAACCGTTGCGGAGCAGGAAGATCCTTTGTCCAGGGTAAATCTTCACATGAAGTGAGCTATCATTGATTTGTCTGTCTGATGCAAATCATATGAGCGTACGAGATCCACAGAGAAACCAGTGTGATAGTGAAGTAATTGTCTCCATAAACATGTTATAGACTTCAATGTAGACAGATGGCATTTGCAGCAGCCTTCTCTATCTTATGGCAGTATCACCTCCCTTGCTTTCTTCTTCTTGTTTGGTTTGGTATTTCTTTAGGTTACCTTTATTTTTCTGTTTCTCTCCTCTCCCTTTGTGTTTTACACATGGTCTCAGGGAGCTGTAGAAAAATACCTGTATTGAAGGATGGCTCAGTCTCACAGAGTGTCAGATAAACTGCAATGTGTAATTTCAGATTAAATCACGTGTCCCTTTTTATCCAGGAAAAAACAGCCCCGATAGCTTTAATGAGGCTGATGAAGGGACTGTTGGACACAAAGAACTTGCTTAGAGATTTCCATGTGAGAGTGTAATTAAGGGTAGTGCAAGTACAAGGCTGACAAAGGAGCAATTTCATTTTTTAAATGGCAAGGTGATTACCAGCATAATGACAGAAAGAAAGGAGGGCGAGAAGGAAGCCTCAAATACAAATTTGAACAGAAGAAGAGAAATGAGGAATCCTGGGTTCCTTTTGCTGCTTTAGCGTTAAGTCACTGACTGCACGAAGAAGGGACATTGGCCACCCCTAACAATTATGTGTACCCTGGTATCTGTACGGTTAAATGGAGATAGCTGGACATACTGGGGTGGAGGCTGGCAGTCAGGGTGTGCTCTTCAGACACCAGCTCAGTCCCCTCTGGCCAAATAATGACAACCATGTGGTGAAGGATTTTTGGTGATGGTTTTTTTTGGGGGGGAGGGCAGGGAGGAAGGCATGAGGTAGATGGTGTTGCTGTGGCTTCAGTTACGGGAGATAGAATAGAGTATCTGGGCTACCAGATGACCCTGGTTATGGTCTGGAGAACTTCTGCTGACGCTGAAGGACAGAAAAACAAGCTGTTCCACCACATACATGTTGGACACCAAGCCCTGGTTATGCTGGTGCTGCTGCTGGTATTTCAGGCTGGATCGGGTCTATCTAGACACCCATTTTCCTCTCTCTTCTCTAGTCTGTGTCTGAACCTGCAGAGGAGATCCATGACCTCATCACCTTAATGCATGAGCAACTCGTCATCTTTTAAGCATCTGTTCACATCTCTCCTATGAAGCAAAGAAGTGGCTCAGCCTGCCTCTTACAGATAAGACCTTGAGGAGGAGAGACCAGGACTTGGCAGGAGAGGAGGGGTTTAGTCCAGAACTCACATCTACCAGGTGGCACCCAGGAAGATAATTCTGAATGTCATGTGTAGTAGGTCCCCCAAACACCCACACGATACTGAAATTACCTGTACACTTCCTAAGTGAATAAAACTATGTGGAGCCAAGGCCACATGCATTCTGCCTGGGTGGGAGATCAAGGGGTTCATGCAGTGTGACTTACCTGCTTTTAAATCCACACTTGTAGCTAACTGGGATATATTTTCTTGGATGCATCCTGTGCAGACCATGCCATTATCATCCTATCAGTTCAGGGCTGAATTAATGACCTTTGTGTATTTCTTACTCAGTTTTAAATGATTTTTTTTTCCTTTTCATTATAAATACATTGTTTGTTTAGGATTCACTACACCTCTTATTTAAGTGCTCAAGCTATTCCTAGTGCTGCTGTTTCTATTCAGTTTCTCTTCAGTCTGGCTGCTGTTTTCTCACCATTCTGGTTTGGAATGGGCTTTACTGGGAAGATACTAAAAGGTGACTGATGGTGTTGTGTGTCTTTGGATTCCCTATTTAGATGCTTTAGAAGGTCTGATTTTCAAAGGTGGATGTTTGGAGATTTCTGAAGACCAGGCATAATTCATACTCGATAGAAAAATAAGTTGCAAGAAGTACCATGCTTCAAAAACTTGGCCTCTTAAAAATCTGAGGGGACCAATTTTGTGTTACCTTATTCTTCTTGTGCTGCAAGTACAGGAAATTACAGACTCCATTTGCTAAACAGCAGGAGGCTAAATGATTTGTCTCAGTCTCACAAATATTTTTCAAACCCACATCATGTAGCCTTCCCTATGCACTAATGCGTGGACATAAAATAAATGAATGTACGATGTGAAGGAAGGATGACCAATCTCATTCTCTTGGGTAAACCTAAGTCATGATATTGTGCCAAACATAAAAGAGCCTGGAGTCTGCGGTGTTTACATTTAGTGTTAGCAAAATATATTTAAAAAAAGGATGTTTTCTTCTGTTTGTGTCCATTCTGGGTGTCTCATTCTAGCAGGAGTCTGTGCAGGGACCACAAGTTACAGTGTGGCATCACAGTCTTCTCAGATGGCTTTTATTGTTTTTCCAATGGGTGGGAAAGGTTGGATCACAAGAGGCTTAGCTAGGATGCATTTTCTCAGTACTTTGCATAGTACAGCGACAGACTGTGCGTATTTTAAAACACAGCATAGGCTGAGAGCGAGATGATTTAGGCAGCCAGGCTGGACTGTGACATATCTTATTCAGGCTGAGTGCCTTGGTTTGCGTTTGAGGATGGGGAAAACCGGGACATTTGGGTGACCCTGTGACTTATCTCAGACTTTGGGCTATTTGTCTGTACAGAGAAGCAGATGTAGGACATAAGAACGTATTCCAGAAGAGGAAGTAGGCATCTGGGCAAAAGCTTTTGAAAATATTTTGAATTTAGCCTAATTGCCCAGAGCTAGCAAATGGTAAATGAGACTGGTGGTGTCAATAACATGCTGAATTAATCCAGGAAAGTTGTGACTACTTTTGAGGTGGGAATCTTCTTTTTTTTTTTTTTATCATGACACCTGTTGCTCATAGGTACAAATCAAACGAAGAGTATGTGTATGTGCGAGGCCGTGGAAGAGGGAAGTATGTATGTGAGGAGTGTGGAATTCGCTGCAAGAAACCCAGCATGCTGAAGAAACACATTCGCACGCACACAGACGTCAGGCCATATGTCTGCAAGTACTGTAACTTTGCTTTTAAAACCAAAGGTAAGAGACAGTCAGCTCCTAGCTCCTCTGCTTAGTATATTGACTTGCAAGCCTTCTTGGGGGCACTGGCGAAGGGGAAGGGAAAGCCTTCCCAGGGTCTGGAAAACCCCAGGAGTTGGAGGGAGGGGGATGAGGGAGTCTTAAATTGGCTGAAATTTTCAGAAGAGGACCAGTCCTGTGTTAAGCTGATGCGTGTCGCGGTGGAGAGCACTGGCTGCACGTGCCAGCCTGCAGCAGAGCATCTGCGCCATCCTATTTGTGCTTCTTAAAGGGAATGATCCTGAAATACAGCTTCACTGGTAGGGATTTATGAACAAAACCACCCCAGAATGAGAGCAGGAGCTCCTGGGTACAGGCAAACGTCCCTGACCAAGCACCTGGAGACAGTCTTTGGGTGGCTTTTTATGCTAGTGCTCTCAAGATCGGTTTGCTCTGCACATTTTCATCCTTTGCAGTTGCATGTAGCTTTGACATTTTCTGTATCACATCAGTAGACTTTTTCTCTAAAGACCTCCATTCCAGGACATCTAGTCATTAATGATCCACAACCTCACTACCACCAGGTATTCTTTGCAAGCGACCTTCATCATTGCCTCAGTGAGTGTGCGAGTGAACTCTATCGGGAACATACAAAACCACATGCAAAAAAAAGTCTCTTCCAAGAGGAGTAGTGTGGGTAAAGTTTTCAAAAATGCCAGAGATGCCCAGGTCCCTTAACCTGTCAGAAGAGTCTGGCACCGTGGGTTTGACATATCTCCCCTGCATCTTTGATTGCAGCAAGTCTTGCAATGAAGATGTTGAGCTTGGTTTCTTGATTGTAGTTTGACATAAATATAAAATGTCCGTTGTCTGTAGCTCCATCATTGCAAATCCCAGAAGATGAGACAGCTGGGGGAGTTAATTACTCAAGAAGAGAAAAAAAACCAGTGCTACCCAAGGAAGCGGCACAGCATGGGCACGGGGAGGAGGCACTGGGTGCTGTGTGGGCTGCGGCATGTGTGCTTACGCAGAAGTGCCGATGGAGGGCATGTCCATGCTAGACAAGTGACCCAGACACCAGGTGATTCAGGGTGGGCAGTGTCTGGAGCTGATGACTTTGTTGGAAAAGCTGGCGGGTGATTTCTGGGTAACAGCGTGTTGGTAATCACTAGGCGTATGGGAACATGGGGAAGTGATACCGAATTTGAGGCCAAATTCTCGTCAGACACATGCATCAGATCCGAGTGACGGTTCTTTCTCTCCCTCCCAGCCTGGAGCTATTTCTGATTTATTTTCTTTCTCTTTACTTTTGTTACTGTGTTCTGAGGTTTTTCTTTGAGAGGTGAATCCATTCAGCCTCTTCCGTCACTTCACCTTGCTTTCCACCATGCTTCTGTTAGGCTTTTATTCAGGATGCTGCGATCAAACCATCCTTTTCACCATCTATCCAGCTGCTTTGCTCTTCATCTCTGCTCCCTTGAAGCACGCAGACTGTCAGCACTGACTGTGCCGATCGCACATTGCAAATAGACACTTGCCTCCAAGGGACTTCCCTTCTTTAGCTTTGCAGGAAACTTGCATGAGGAAGGTAGCATGGAAATGCTTCCTTCCAAAAAAAAAAACAAACCAGTGTTGAGATTTGAATGCAAAACTGTCCATTTGCCTATGGATGCATGAGGGGGCAGAAATTCCCTGGATCAGTGATTTCAGGACAAGTAGTTGCATGATGGTAACGTGGAATTGCATGAAAATGGCTCTTTGCTGGAAGGGGGAGACAGTCAGAGCCCTGGCTGTGTCCTGTGGGCATGCTGATCCTCCACATAACTTTGCAGCACTTGGGTAAAAGCTGTCTGCTGTGCTGATGGAGCCACAAGGACCATTGGAAGAATTACTGGGGAGTGAGAAAAAGATCAGCCTTGTGTGCTGATAAAATCATCAGTTAAGGTCCAGTGATAGAATCACTGCTGTTGGTGATGGAGTGCGAACGGGAGGTCCAGGAGGTTTGCAGAACTGGATGTTTCACAGCTTATTTTGCAGATGTCTAGAATAAGTTTGTTTGTGCCCTGATTCATTAGGATCCTCCTTCCTGGTGTGCAGTTTTGCAACCACAGTTAATTGCAGAATGGAGAAGCTGGAGCTCTCGCTACCGGACTGCACTTGCAAAAATACAAGCTGAGTTGAAGCTCTTTTAGAAATCAGCTTTCCAAAGTTAATTTTAGCCTTCAGCGTAAACTCAAGGGGGATATCTGTGGAGCTGTCTTCATTTTGGCTGTGGTAGATCTCTCCAGCATGATCTAATGCTCTAAACTCTCAAGTAGGCTGGAAGCAGTTAAACGTGGTTTTTTTTATTATTATTTTTAATGAGGATCTTTATCTGGTTAAAATGTACCTCTGCACCCCCCCCACCCCCACCCCGGAAAATCCATATCTGTGTTCCAAGAACTAGGAAAACTTTCGCAAAAGAAAGAGCTTTAAATATTTTCCCCTTTTCACTAATTATGCTACTTGTCTGCTTTTTGTGCATTTCTGTCACTGTAAGCGAAGCTGTTCCTTTGGGTTACAGAACTGCAGGGAAATTTTTTTTTTTTCTTGTTATTTTAAAGCAACTCCATGAGATTTTTGTGTGCTCACTTAGCTGATGGAAACAGCAGTCTTGGAAATTTGGTTTGTAAAGATTTATTTGATGTTGCGTTTCTGGAGCAGATATAAACGTGTCTCTAACGAGGTATCTCTACCGCTGTAGTAGCGCTCGCCGAAGAGGTTTGTCACCGTGGCCTCCAAGAGGTTGTTTAAAAGAAGTTAAGCAGCTTCTTCATTGTTTTCTTACCAGGAAGGAAATGAAGAAAAAGTTGCAGTCTAACAATTTTCCCTTTCAGGAAGGTCAGGGAGAGCTTTTTCCTTGAGCACCTTCCCAGAGGGGCCACAGGACCCGCCAGCCTCCCCTTGCCACTCGCTCCAGACCCGCGGGGGGAGCGCAGCCCCTTTCCTCGCTCCTTCTCTTGGGTGACCTGGGGAGGTGTGTCAGTGCTGGCGCATTAACTCCCCTCCTGCGCAGACATTATCCTTTTCCACAGCTATTTTCTGTTCTCATTCAGACGCACATCAGACTCTCACGTCCTGATTACTTAAGATTTCTTAAAATTTCTGGACAAAGTGTATGGAGCAGCTTGCTGTGTCGATGCTGCTGCCTTTGCTTGGAGGTCAGAAGGGACAAGGAGCTTCATATTAATTTAAAAGGTGCTTGTGTAAAGGACATCGGTGCCTGTTGGCTGAAGATACCCATTTGATAGTCTAGTCCGCTCACAGTTTCCAGACACCAGACTTCTTCATGTCCTCAGCCATAGTCTTCCTTTAATAAATTAGTTTGCAGTTCCTTAAATCAGCACATGACAGGCACTGAGGTTATTGAACAGGTTAATATATTAAATGCATTACCCCCTCAGCCCTTAAAGGCAAGGTTATGGCTGCACAGTTTATTATTATTACTGCTCGAGCAGACTCAGCGCTCTGCTAAGCCTCCTCTGGAAACTACAGAGCAGGTCCAACTGGCGGAAAGCTCCAAAAGAATTAACTGCTGTTATAGCAGGGCAGATTGATACACAGATTTGCAAAATGTCCCTGCACCCTGCGTATGCTGGGACGCTTCCTTATCGGCTGGGAAGAGGGAAAGGGTCCAAGCATCCCGGTGGAGCCGCTGCTGGGAGCAGGCTTTCATCCCCCTGCTCCTTGGGATGTCACAAACCTCCAATGGGATGAGGACAGGGTTATCCTCAGGAATTTGCTGCCTGCTCCCTTACGCAATGTGGCATGAGACATGTCCCTGGGAACAGAAAATGACCCAGTGGTCCAGGCAGGAGACGAAACACTGAGCAAAAGGGCTCTTTAGCTTACCAGGGAAAGGTTAAAAAAAAAGGAATGAGGGCTGGAAGTAAAAGACTGGCAAATTCAAGTGAAATATTAGCTGTTATTTTTTTAAACAGTGCAGCTATTAAGTCTCAGCACAAGCCTTAATGGGAAATATGCTAATTGTCTATATTTTGAAATCTGCAAATCCAGCCTGGGTACCTTTCTGGAAGATTAGTTTTCAGCTAACGCAAGCTGATAGGCTTGATCCAGAAGATGGCTAATATTTTATAGCCTTTATCAATACAGGCAGGCAGGCTAGATGTTCAAATTCTCTCCTTTAATCTTTAAGTCAATAAGTATAAAAGATAATAACAGAATTTTAAAAAATTGAAATCCTTTGCCCAATAAATTATATAAATTAAAGCTTTCCTTCTCATACAGTCTCACTTGGGGACATTATCTCCATGCTGAGACCTAAATCAAGGCCTGTGCGTTATTTAAGTCACACATAAAACCTATTTCAAGGGTTTATCTGGGACGGAGAGTATTGGCCCGTGGCCGGTTCTCCGTGTGTGAGTGTGTCTCTCAGCGAAATGGGAGTCTGCTAGTTGTAGAGTAGCTGTTGCTCTCCTTGCGTATTGTTTTAAGAGAGGAATATGAAAATACTTATGTCCTGGAAAGCTGTGAATGTTTGTATCACGATGTCGCCTTGGACGCTGAGATCATGCAGTTGGGCATTTTGGGGCTTTTTTTGTTGTTGTTGTTGTTAAATTGTTCACAGTTAGCAGGAGAAATGGAAAGCATGGTGTATGCCCGATACAGACAGGATAATTTTTCCAGGAATCTTAACGTTTCTGTTCCCTACATTTTGTTTTTACTCTGCCACCTTTAAAATACGATAATGGATATTCTGAAAAATTAATTTCCCTCTTCAAATTTAACTGGGAAATCACTTCTAGTCCCTATTAAGCTGCTTTAAGTGCTTTTGGAACACTAGAGTTTTAGCTTTTTCAAAACAACACAAGTATTTAAGCTGCTTTAAGTCCAGAATAAGACCTCACAACATCAGCAGAGCTTAAGCAGCCGGTAATACATAGCTATAAGCAGGCGTAATGAGAGCGCTGTGCTGATACTGCCTGTACTCCTCCACTGCAGCAATAGTTGGGGTGGGGTCACAATTTCCAGGGGTCACAATTTCCACTGATTCCTGAATTTACTTAAATATAGCCCGTTTATTTCAAATCTGGGAACTTTTTGGTAAACAATCCTCACTGAGGACCGCTTACCTGCTTAGGATTCAATATAACTGTTCTGCTATTTAAATCCAGTTTCCCTGCCTGCTAGTTTCTCTCTTGCTCCTTCAAATATGTTTTTTCCACGGTTTCCAAGGAAGCAATGTTATGTGGGGTTTGTTTTTTTTTTTAAGTTGGGAGCCAGAACTCTGTAAGGCAACAAGTAGCTGTGAGTCCTTCCTTGTAGGATTCAGATCCAGCTTTTACTTAGGCAAAGTGGTGTTGATTTTACTGGAAGTTTGCCAAAGGACTTTAGCATTTAATCCTGCCAGCATTAATTAAGGGGTCTAAAAACACAAACTGTAAGAAGAACCCTGATAAGATAAATATCATTGTCCTCCAAATTGCTCGCAAGATGATAACTCAGCTGGTGTAAATAAGCCTCCACCTTTAAACTTCCTTAAAATGATGCAAACTTAGGTCAGATGAGAATCTGACTCGCTGAGTCTCCCTTCCCTAAAAGGATAGCAGCATCCCTATTTTGTTGGAATTTCTTCGTGGTGTGCGTGCAGGGTGCTGCGTATGGATAGACCGTGCACCAGGGAGATTTGCACCGAGAGCTTTGCAGGCTCATCTTGTTCATCAGCGCGCGTGGGTATTACCTTATCTAACCAAATGAGAATGAAGGAAGATGGAAAGCAGAGTAGAAAAAAGTAGAAGGGGAAAGAAAGCAACACTTCCTATGAATTGGTCCTTTGGTATTTTGCGTAAACTCCGTCGCACAGGGGTTTTTGGCATTGCCCATGCAGTGCCTTCCAGCTCATGCCCGTGCGGGCAGCCTGGGGGGGGAAGGAAGAGGAAAAGCCATGGTGTTCCCTTGCACAAGGACAGTTGCCTCCAGTGAAAGAAAATAAAAAAGGAAGTGACACTGATGGCTTCTGGCAGAGCTTGTCAACCCGAACCGTTGCTCAGGGTGGAGCTGGGTCAAAGCAGAGGTGCAATGAAGTGACGGGGGAGAGCTGCAGGCTGCAGAAGCAGCCGGCTGGGCTCCCCTGTCTGCCCAGATGCTGCAGCAGGCAGCGGGGAGGACTTGTGTGTATAACCAGCCTTTGGCCATCTGAAGTGGCCAAGGTGGCCACTGTATGCCTCTGAGGACCAGAGTCCTTCCCTCGAGTACGGGGTGGCTGCAGTCTTGCCCAAAACATTGCATCCAACAGCCCCCCCAAGTAATTAACGTCACGCCCTCCCGCTTTAGCCAAAGCCAGAGGGTGTAGCACAGTCAATTTATGAGCTTGTCTTAGGGATGTGGTAGCACCAAAATGCTTGGTGGACCTCCCCTCCCCCCTCTTCCCACCGTGGGGATCGCAGCTGAATTCCCGAGGTGCCACAGACCATGGTTTAACCAACAACCCCCTGCTCAGGCCAGGCATTTTCTTGGGCTTATATTCTGTGCTTGTTGTCATTGGAGAGAATCCAGTTAGGGATTTTTCTGTGGTAACTGAGCAAAGATGGGTCATTTTTGCTAGCCAAGATGTGATGTGCCATGATGGACAGGCAGCAGCAGCAGGGTTTGATTTCAACAAACCGAGGCAGTTTGTCTTTTCGCTAGTTAGGTCCAAAATTAAAATCCAGTTCCATGAGGCCACAATTTGGACTCATTGGATACTTTTTGGTGAAACAGTTTTTTTGCTTTAAAACAATGGTGATTCACTGGAACCAGAGGTGTCCGTGAGAGCATGCTCTTGTCTGACTGGGTGTCTTTGGGTCCACAACAAAACTCCTGGTCCAAAGTGGAGAAAGAGAGGTCTGATGCAGAGCAAGGACCTGAGCCAAGCTGGCCTCATCCTCCTACCTGAGTGTCCTAACCGTAGGGCTAAGGGTATTTAGGCATGAAGTTTTAAAATAATAAATCTCTCTTATTGGAGCTGTTTTGCTGCATTTAAATTATTAAATATCCTTTGAATCCACATCCTAGATGGGTGCCAGATACACAAGGATATATAGTCAGCCTTTGTCTCTCTTGGTCTTTCCTGTTGGAGCTATTCCATTTTGTATAAAATGGACTAAATAAATAATTCATGGGCTAAAGAGAAACTAACTTGGTAGCTAGATGGTTATGGCACTCTTCTGAGATGTGAGGGCGTCACGGGTAATTCTCTGCTCCAATGAATAGTTGCTTATTTATTTATACTATCCGGAGCAGCGGGAGGAGAGGTTGATAGAGGACCTCTATACTCCCACCCAGCTCAGGGACCGGGGGACTCTGTGGATTGCAGGATACCAGCTGAGGGACCTCAGTCCTCAGCTGAAGGTTGTAATAAAGTGTGAGAATTCATTTTTTCCTCAATTTTTTTTTTTTTTTTTGGTGAGAAAAACAAGCCTCGTGTTCAGCACTACTCTCAAGTGTTAGCTAACAGGAAGGCTGGTGGCACATCATATTCCTGCAGTGAATTTGGAGTGCTCAGCCAGCTCCTGGGCTGTGCTGAGAAATTAAACAGCCCTTGGTGGAGCTTCAGCAAGGGCCCAGGTTTCTTCTCATCATCAGCTCAGCCCATAAAGAGGTGCGGGGGAGAAAAGGGAAAAATGGGACATTTTTTCTTTATTTCTCCTACCCTTTATTTTCCTCTCCATTCCACCTACCTTTTCCCCCTCAGCAAAGGTTCCCCTTTGTTCACCGTTTCCCTTGGATATAAGTAGGGTTAATAACTCTTTAATTAACCTGCCGGTAATTTGGTAATTAGAGAGGTGCCCTGTGAGGCTGGCATGCCCACGAGTTATCCCATCACACGGTCTCAGAGCAGGAGCCAATGCTCCCACACCCTGGACCCCCCCTTGCAGGGGCTGCTCTTCCCATCCTGGCCCTAGGACGCCTCGCTGGTGCTCAGCAGGTGTTCAGCCCCTGGTGCACGGGGCTTCAGAGGGTGTCCGTGACTCCTCCTGCTCCGGGGAGCTGAGAACTTTTGCCTGGTACTTCAGTGCATGCCAGAGCATCTCAGCCATCCTGCTGCGGGGAGAGGGTAATTGTAGGGTTTTTCCCTGTTGCTGGCATCTCAAGCACTCATTTTGGTAGTACCAGTCTGCCCCGTGGGGCTAAGGAGCTCCTCACCTCCAGGCAGGTGACCCTGGGTGCTGGGATGAGGTGGGAGGTGATGCTAGATTGAGATGTGTTTCTCTTCCCTACTTTCCCCCCATTTTTCTTTTCTGCACCATCACAGCTGAATGCATTCCAGGACTTTTCTGCCCCCCCCAAACCCAAATGTGTACCCCAACTGTTTTTTCAGGTTGCACAACACCTGAAAGGTTGCACAACCCTGCCAGCACCTCCTCTTCTACCCCAGTGCAGCAGGGAGGACTTAGCCTGGTGTCATGGGGTATTTGCAATGGACAGTGGTTTGGGGAGAGGCAGAGGCCTCCTTTGTCCAGTTCAGAGCCAAATTATTAACTTGTTATTGCTGAGCTTGCAAAATGAAAAACAAAAAGAAAAAAAAAGAAGAAAAAAAAGAAAAAAAAAGAAAAAAGGAAAAAAAAAAGAAAAAAAAAAGAAAAAAAAAAGAGCCATATTGACCAAAAATATGTTTTCTGCTTCTTTTCAGGGAATCTGACTAAACATATGAAGTCAAAGGCCCACAGCAAAAAATGTCAGGAGATGGGCGTGTTGGTATCTTCACTGGTGGATCTGGAAGCCGAAGAAGGTAAAATCTTTCACATTATAAACCTGCTATTCCTGCTAAGAGAGGGCAGTATCCATTCAAGCAGGAGATGTGCTCCGCAGATCATCCTTCCAACAATGTGGAGCAGTTTTGTTCACTCCAGGCTCCTTCCAGCACCCAAGAGGGGATTTCTGCTTGCACGGGGTGGGTTACTGGGCCATCCTGGGAGGCTGCATCCGTGGGACGGTCTGGGAGCCCGTGTCTCCCTGCTGGGGGTTGTGCATGTTTGTCTGAAATATTTTGGCTGGCTGTGAACAGACGGGTAGGGAGCATCCTGCGTTTGGCCCAGTGCTCTGCATGTGGGCTGTGTACATAATAAATAGTGGATCCGTGGCGTGAGAAGGTGCTCCTTGGTATTTTGGGGTGTCTCTAGCAGGCAGTTCAGGAGCCTGACTGCCACGCTGTGGAAGAGCTGTACGAGTCTCCAAAGCAGCAAAACGAGACCCACCCCTGAGGATGCATTGCATGAGGCTGTGAACCCCCACTCTGCTGCTGCAGGCACAGTCTGGTGGGTGAAGGAGAAGAATCAGTCCTGGCACCCCTGGTTATGATCTGTCAGCATATTTCACTGGAGCTGAAGTGCCGAGCATGAGCGCTGGGGCGACCCTTCGGTGCGTGGCCCGTGCAGGCTGTGGTGATGTTCTTGCAGCCGGGATGCACTCCAGGAATACAGGAGTATCAATGACTCGGGGGATACCTTCCTCCTGAAAGGGCCTCCGGAGGAGGACTTTCCCGTAAGGATCATCTCCTAGGGACCTGCCCATCTTACTGTGTTTGGCTGATCCCAGGAGACTCCAAATTACCAGTGCAGACCTGGGCTGAGTCTGGAGGGATTGGTGCATGCATGAGCTGCTCCCGACTCTGCAGGCAGACCCAGCCTGGACCCTGCACCACCGCTGCAGACCTCAGCATGCCGGGATGGGGCGCGAGCAGCCCCGGGGCAGCTGCTTCCCTCATCCCTCATCCCTCATTCTCAGGGGTCTTTTCCATGTGTAGGATGAAGGTGAATCACCCAGGTCAGAAATGATCTGGAAGATTTCTCAAAGCAAAACTAAAATAACATGGTGCTTTGACATTTAATGGCATGATTCTGAGTGCTCTACAAGAAGATACATTTACCCTGACTCCCCTGCTTATTTCTTTCGTCTACTTATGCACAAACACACACACACAGAGTCTGTCCAAGGCTCTGTAAATTCAGGAGTCTGTTGTTGAGAAGGACGCATGACTCTCTCATTTAGTAATTTCCGCCCTAGTTTATGGTATCTGCAGCTGAATTTCCCTGAAGTCATCCCGAGAAGCAGATCTCCTCCTGGGAGGCTGGGCAGCATCAGGCAGGAGTGCGGTGACCATAAGCACTCCTGTCTCCATCAGAAATGTTGAGGGAAAGGTGAGAAAGATCTCCAAGCTGGGAGGTGAAAGAACATGGAGAAGTCTTGTGTATACTTCACTGTTTGAGCTAGAAAAAGATATTTTACCCAAATTATTGGAGGCTGTGTTCTGACAGCTGTGAAGGGTTGGGTTATGTGTCTCCAGGGAACAGTTAGATGTTTTTACGACTGTTATTCTGTTTCCTTTAGCAAGACCCTGAGTATTCGGGGCTGGAGCCACAGTGCAGGAATTATGGGGAAGAAGCCTTAGGGGTAGCAGACCTCAAGGCATCATGAAATTTTGGGTCATCTGCATTTGCGTTATGTGTTTATAGGAAACACTGCACATACCAGCTACAGAGGGAAGAGAGGCTCTGGGAGCACAGGTCTGTCTCTGTCACACTGTGTTTATTCCTGGATAAAACATTTAGTGCCACAGAGCAGGGTGGTGCTTTCTGTTTGCATTGCGTTGCAGGCTGGTCATGACACCATTGACCCTTCCTGGCTGCCACCCCAGAAATCCCAGTATGAAAGCAGCTCTTGCGGCTGTCTTTAGCATTTTTTCCCCCGTTTCCTGTTTCACCCCCCTCTCTCACCCCAAACAATTTTGATTCCCCCATCCCTGGGATTCATTCTGCCACAGCCCGCAAGGGTTTGTTGACAATGGGTTAAAATGAACTTCATAAAACACATGGCGCCACGGTTATTTTTATAAAGTGAACATCAGCTGAGCAAGTTCTGGAGACGGCGCTGTGAGCCAGGGAATGTTAACTCGACAGGAACAACAAACAGTGCTTATCACCCCGGACCCCTGCTGAGGTCAAGTCCATCAGAGGCTTTATTAGGAAAGGGGCTGGTTCCCGGGACATGGGCAGTGTCGCATGCTTCCTGCTTCATAGGTAATTAAAAATCACTAAGTGTGTTTCCCTACGTAGCCCGTGGTGGGACCGGGGTTTGCTCTGCTGCAGGCTGCAGCCCTTCGTGCCGCAGAGGGAGCTCGTGGTACAGGTGGCGCGCAGGGCTGGGGAGGCTGTGCCCGCCGGGCAGCCCTGGCCACTGGGACCCTCCGAGTGCTTTACGTGTCAGTTCTTGAATATCAAAGCTCAGAAATGCTGTCCCCTGCAGCGTGCTGTATCCTTGGGATATCTCCATGCTGGTTAAACTGTGCTGAGGACATTTGCAGGCACTGGCACACCATCGCCTCAACTTAAACTGCAGGAGCCATCAACAAGATGTCTGTGGTTCAGGCCATCTACCACACTTCAAAAAAAATGCTGAGCACAGTTTGGGCATTAGCATGGCCCTGGGGCCATTCCTGCAGAGGAGGCTGGATATGGCCACCCTTTTTTGGAGGCACAGAGGTGCAGATGCAGAGCAACCTGATGGGGCTGCAGGGCTTGTGTCGCTGATCTGGGACAAATGTGGCTTGAAGGGCTGATGTGACTGTCCTTGACCTGAACAGACCACGGCTCAACTTGCCAGCAGAGAACCTACAGGACGTATCTGAGAAGTCCCACTGGTGAACCAGTCCCAAACCCCGGCGATCGCCCAGTGCAGTGGTACCATGCCCTTTCAGGCTTGGGTTCTGGTTCAGGCCAGGTGTCGTCACCTGGGCGGTCGGCACGAGGACGTGGGAGAAAGAAGGGGCCCTGTGGCACTGCCAGACACCCGTGCCCGCTTTCACAGTGCCTCTCCTGACATATACAGGGATGGACAAAGGGCTCTCCCAGGCCACGCAGAGTAAACGTCTAACAAAGGCTAAGGATACCTGACCTGGCCGACAGCGTGCCGCTCTGCCTCAAGGGGTGGCTTTCTTCCTTTTAAATCTGCTTGAACTCTTGGCTTTTCTCCAGCTCTTCAGAGCAGCCTTTCAATCAGGCAGAGACACGCTGTACTTGGCCGTGGCCTTTCCAAAGGAGGGCATGGCCAAAAGAAAACCTGGTCGGGGATTTTGCAGTAGCCGCCCCAAGGGAAAAGTGTTGGCGTGGTGTGAGCAGCAGGAAGCTGCTCCCATGTGGGATGGCTGGAGAACTCCTTCAGCTTGGGAACGCACTTAACTGATTAGCTGATGGTCTCCAGAAATCTCTCCCTGCTGTTATACCACCCGTCGGTGACGCTTCTGCAGATCAGAGCTAGATAGGGAAAGAGGAAAGTGGCTCCTGAAAAGTTGGTTGCATGACTCTGAAGAGAACAACTGTTATTTTAAACCTCTCCATTATAGCCAATTAGTACTAATGAATCATATTAATTGAGTGTCACTTTTGAAAACCTGCAAATCAGAAGTCCTACTTATGTTACACGTAATTGCAGGCTTCTGAGGACAGAACTGCAAGGGCTCACTTCACCAGTCCAGGGGAATGCTTTCATTCATGGTTTCCTTCAGTCATTCATCCCCAGGCTCATACAGGGTTAATAGTCGCGCACTCAGCAGCGTGTTGTGCAAGCGGTGTGAAAGCCTGTCCAAGCTGTAAGCTGATGGGAGCACTCTGCGAAGACGGAGGTCTGGCAGGTGACGAGGCTGAGCTGGTCTCAGCCTTTGGCCTCATGGAAAGAGCAGGTCTCAGCAAAAGCCCGAGAAAGGCCCACGTTGCATCCCCAGCTCAGCTGGGAGAGTTACTCAGCGGAGAGGATGGGACCATCAGCTAGGTGACTCTGTTTTTGGCCATTGTTAAGTCATTTGTCCCGGGCGGCTCGTGGCCGGACACACGTGGTTGGACACCTGCTCAGCCCAGCAAGGAAGGGCCCTACCTGGACTGCAGAGGGCAGGAACCCACGAGCTTTCGGAAGGGACTCCTCTCCCGTTGTTGGTGTTGGCTGCGCGGCCGCTCACTGGAATGTCGTGCGCTGTCTGGACTTCATTGCATTATCCGTGCAATCCGTGTAATTTTAGAATTACAAAAAATATACAGTCCCCATTTCCTCCCATTGATGAAGACCATTTGTGTTTGTGTAAAGGGGACGGTCTGCCAGGAAGGAATGCAGAAAGGTGAAAATGGGAAGGCGTGGTATGGGAGGACATTTCCTTTCTTTCCTTCCAGCTTCTTTTTCACCTGGTTAAAGCTAACATTGGGCTTCTGCTGAAATTTCAGATATTCTGCCTTATGAGTAAGGAGGCCCATTGCTCACAAATGCCAAGTAAATGCTAAATAAAGCAGCCAAGAAGATGGTCAGAAAATCGTATTTCATACTGTGATGGTTGGGGCTATTTGAAAGGATGAGAAAATAATGTAAAAAGGGCAGAAAGGTGCATAAGAAATCGGAGATCACAGCTGTGTCCTGCATCCCCTGTTTCTCCGAGTAGTGGATTGTGAAGAGCCTTCCCCTGTGTAACCACAGAGTATCTTCTCTCTTCTTTGCAAAGAGGCTCAGAACAGAGCCTAACAAGGACTATTTTAATTTAAAAAAACAACAAAACAACATTACTATTTCCATGTGACACAAACCAGTGCAGGAAGATGGCTGTGCTTTCCTTGTGGGCAGGCAGGGAGGGAGCAGCGGTTCCTGAAACTCCCTGGATTATTTTAAACTAGAGCTATATTTCACTTGATTGTTTTTATTTCTATTTAAGGGGCAGGAGAAAGTAAGGGGTGTTACTATAAAAGGAGATTGGAGTATAATTCTTCATTCCTGCGTTGGTTTTGCTTGGTGTGATTGCACCAGTTTGGTAGAATACCCTTGGAATAACAGACGTGTAATGAAGGGCAACCCTCGGACAAAGCCGTCGACAGGGCACATTTTCACTAGCTCCCTCTCTTCCTCCATCTCTCCCTCCCTCTCTGTCTTTTCCTGACTTGCCCTTTCTCTGCCCATTAGCTCAGCAAAATGCATTTCAGTTGCAAGAAGCCAGGGCTCCGGTCTGAGCTCTCTTCCTGCCTGCAAGGGCCGTGTTAGGAGGCCAAAGCAAATTCCCTTTGGGCTGTCCCAGGACTCACTGAAATGTTTCCCTTGGTGGCAAATGCAAACAACTCCCCAGTGCGGAGCTGGCTTCGCGTTTCCCTCACTCCATACTTCTGACCTTGCTCTCTGTCCTGGCCAGTGCCTGTCCGTTGCGTGACTGGGGCCAAAAAAGGAGACCACACAGGACAAGGCTCTCGGAGCCATGCAGCAGAGGCTGGGGCTGTAGCTGCCCGTCCGTCCCGAAGCCCATAGATGTCAAACCCCCAAACCAGAGACGGGGACTAGCTCATAGATCTGGTAGTGAAATGCATTCCTTTTCCAAGCAAGAAATATGCACGGTTCACCCTACAGCTGGGAGAACTGGTCATTTGGAATAGTATTTGTTCTGAACTCAGTTCCTTTGGGAGTTTGCACACAACCCACCACTGGATCCTGGGTCCAGCAAACACCATCATTACACAAGCATTTCACAACGCAAGTCAGCCTCTTGGTGGAGAGCCGCTGACTTCGACTCGGTGCTGGATGAGTCCTGCAGTAGGTCTCGCTTTATGGACTAGTTAACAAACACTTTTGAAACGGGGTGGGGAGCAAATGAGATGCATTTCAGGCTGATTCTTGGATGGATCATCAGCCATGGTAAAATACATGTCTTATTTCACTGGTAATGCCGAATACTTCATGAGTGTTTACTAGTAAGGCCCTGTTATTCAAAGTAAACAAAATTAGACTTTTTATACATAATCTCAGTGACTTCTCACTGTGTGGCCATGTCCCCTTCCAAAAACCACCCTGCCTGCTGCAGGCAGGTGTGGTCCAGCCTCAGCATTAGCTCCGTTTAATTTCCCCTCCAGCTCATCCTGCTGACAGATGGCAGCTCTAAATGGAAAACCATTTCAGTGTTCATCAGAGGAAAAACAGTGTCCTAGGCTGAACTGATGGGGAAAAGAGGCCAGCAGTACTGCAATTAGTTACCTGGCTTCATGCAGGTGTCAAAGCAGCATCCAGGCATTCTCCTTCCAAAGCTGGGGACCAAGCGTGTCCCAGCAGCTCTGCACCCATCATCTTGGTGCTTGGCACAAACAGAATTTGAGAAACTGGTTTTTTATTAGCCCCACCAGAGCAGTGGGGACTTGCAGAAAAGCCTCCAGACAGTGCAATTTTGTTGAGCTACAGTGACATCCAGTGGCTGTTCCCGATGGACCTCATCAGGCTGAGCTTGCATTTCTGCCAGGATCACTGCACATCTGGCGTGGGGAAATGCAGATTTTTCTCAGTGCAGAGCAGAGCAGCAGGTGAGCCAGCAGCGATCTGCTTGGGAGCCTGGTACCAATCTCAGAAAGCTTCTGCTAGCTCTTAAAAGTAGAAGAGAGATGCTGCATTTTTACCTGCAGATATATTTCAAATCCTTTAGAACTTGCTTTCTGTATACTCCTCATTGTTTACAAGCTCTTTATTAACAAAGCATCCCTATGCAAGGCCTTCCACAGATAGACAGCAAAAGCCTTTGCCACAAAGAAGTATCTGCATGATAGCTAGAATTTATCAAAATAGGGAAAAATCTACAGAAGTTCTTCCAACCCTATCACTTACTTTTTTTTAAGAAGTCCAGTCTCGTTAATGTTTAACTGTCATGTAATCTAGGCAGGAAAAGGCCCAACATGTGGAGCATTGGAACAGTCATCCCAGCAACTTTCCCGTACTTTGGCAGCTGTAGGTATTTTGTAGGCACCATTGCAACAAACAGACATAAAAAGCCCACCAAAGGATGATAGTGCTGCTGTTCTCCTCATCTATTAAGAGCGTTTTTTTGCATTTCTAGAGAAAGGCAGGGTGTGTGAAGGTGTACAGCAGAAACAGGGACCGATGGCTGCGTGTGTTGACAGAGCAATGGCTGGAACCAAAATCAGGGTAGAGTGGGAGGTCCCGATGGTGGGATTCACTGGGATCTACTGGGACCATCAGGAGTGGAGTTGGCACACAGGGCAAGACTGCAAAGGCTTCAAAGCACGAGATGATCAGATCTAGGAAGCAGCCAGGTCCTCTCTCCTCTTGTCCCCTTAGAACTTTTGAGCAGATTTAGCGTAAAAATAGTCCCTGTATGTCTGTTTTACACTCTCTGTTTTGTGTTTGCCCATCCCTTCAGGAACCAGTGAAGACCTATTCCAGGACTCTGAGGGGCGGGAGGGATCTGAGCCAATTGAGGAACACCAGTTTTCAGACCTAGAGGAATCTGATGATGATGACGACAATGAAGATGAGGAAGATGAGGAGGAAGAGGAGAGCCAAGATGAACCACCTTTAAAATTGCCAGAAGGCAAACATACCACCCTCCTGATGCACTCTTCAGGTGGCTCTCCATCTTCTCAAGAGGAAGGCACCGAAATAGCATTGTCCTTAGCCCAAGAAACTGTTTCCAGCAGCCAAAAAGTAGGTGAAGGCCAGCAAGCCTCCTCCTCAGGGCTGGAAACAAAATGGTCAGCAGACAGCAGTGATATTGCTGTGTGCCACAGCTTCTTGAGTCTCCACAGACCAGCTTTGACCTCCACCGAACAATTGGCTTCTGCTGAAAGAGAGTCTGTCACAAGGCCACAGATGTCCTTAGTTATGGACCTGTCAACCTCAAAAGACACCTCCCCAAGAAAAAGGTGGTCTCCAAGCCAGGACTCTGGCAGAGGTGGTGGCAGCAGCAGACCAATGCTAGCGAGAAAGCACCTGTTAACAAAAAATGAAACTTCACCAAAACGGTTTTCACCAACTGGAGAACTGTCTTCTCTAAGGTGCCTGTCTCCAGGGAGAGGGTTGTCTCCTTGCCAGCGCGTCTCTCCCAGGAGGGAGGCATCTCCACTGAGATGTGTGTCACCACGACTTGAGCTGTCGCCCAGCAGGCATCTTTCCCCTAGAAGAGAGCTTTCCCCAAGAACATACCTTCCACCAGAAGGAGAAGTCTCCCCTGTGAGGCACTCGTCGCCGAGCAGAGAGATGTCATCAGTCAGATATTTATCGCTGAAGAAAGTCTTGTCTCCAGGCTGTTCAGAGTCGCCTAGGTATCCATCCCCTGGGAAAGAGGACTTGCCTGGTACTAGCAAATCAGCAGCAGATGACAAAGTTCAAAGCTCATATCAAGCCCAACATGGAATATTATCTTCGATGCCTCTACCTCACAGGTTCTTTGGCAAAAACATACAGCTCTACGAGTCCAAGCTGGTAAGTTCAAGCCCCTCTTGCCTTCTAGTCCCTGCAGTACGTTCTCTGATATGTTTTTTAATGAAGGTTGTAATGCAGAAGTGCACAGTGACTCTGACTGTGACCGATGTCACGGTTAACCCAAAGAAAAATGACAGTGGACAGCAACGGGTTTTGCACCTGTTTTGGTCCTGCCCATCTCAATTGAAGAGAAATAAAGTTGTCCCTTCTCCAGGGGATTATTTACACTCATGACCCAACCAGTCTCCTGCTGAGACAAGCAGTAAGGATGACTGCTTAATAATGACTAGTTGTCACTAAGAGGCTTTTCTATCCTGGGAATTTCGCACCCATTTCTGAGATTTCACCATCTGGGGTGACGCTGTGACCATTTCCCACTGGTCAGTGACCTGAACCAGATCTGAACTAGCCATTGCACTCTACTGCTGACTTCTGGGCTATGTACATACACAGCCAACTGTGTTATATTAACTGCTGAGAAATGTTTGTTTGGACATCTCTGATTTCATCTCGCTTCTCTCTTCAGCACAGAGAAGTGTTTCCCACTGGGTCCAGAAAATAATTTAATCTCTCTGCTGGACATATCAAATCCTATGGGTAAAGGAAAATTGCACATCCCTCCCACTGCTACAGGCAAATTAGACGTCGGGTTTGGTGGAACGTTTCCCATCTCTACTGAAGTGCCTGGCTCTCCTGTAGTTTATGCTGATGAACATGAGATTCAGTTGCTGGAGTTGCTGTGCTGTGAAACTGGTGTGAGGAGAGACTCGAGCCCTTAGGGACTGCACTGGGAAGAGAGAGGCCTTTATACAACCCCTGGAGAACCTGTCATGGCAGATGCTGACCCAGGTCTTTTCCAGAAAAGCCACGCTGCCCAGTGTGCGTTTCTTCCATGTCTATGATAACATACTGTCTTTTGGTGCTGCCTTCCTTCTGCTTTCCTCTATGAGTGTTTGTCTTACCTTCTCAGAGACTATCCTTTGGTTTAGGTCCAGACTTTTGCTTACTTTAATGCTATTTCCCTTTCCTGTCAATTAACGTCTTGTGAATCTCAGGGCTATGGAAACCCCGGTCCTCCAACTCTAAAGCATCTCTGTCAGGAAAACTGCCCGCTGCCGCTACTTGTAGCAAATCCCCTAAGTCCCTAGTCCACAGTAGGAGACAATATTGTATACCCCTGCTTATCTGCCCATTCACACCTTTTAACTTACACTCTCACACACATCCTTTTTGCTCCATTTATGCGCCCAAAGTCACCACTGTTGCTGTTCTCATGTGCCTCCAAAGCAACAGTAAAGACCTGAAGGGAAAACTTTCCATTTATCAGTGAGATGGACAGCTGGGCTTTCATTGCAAAATTACATTCCTGGTAAGGCTACAAGAGACAGAAAGATGAGAGGTGGATTTATCAGATCCCAAATGGAGCTCTGTGCTCAAAACTGGTGCCCTGTGCATTGCTTAGAAACTTGGAGATGATCTTAGCTTAGCTTCAGTGTAAGGCTTTCTGCCAAGTTTGTGCATCAGGTGTGATCATGACCATCTCCCTTCCCACTGGCTCTTGCAGTAGGTAGTCTCTTCTGGTGGCTGTTGCACCACTGAGGTGATTTGTTTGGGGGTTTCCCAGCATCCCTGTAGTGATTCTGCCAAGACTTCATGTGGATAAGTAAGATTTAGCAAGTGTTTGTGCTTGTAACTGCTGACCAAGTATATACTATCTTCAGTGGCCCTTGCTTTCTCTCTCTTCTGTTCTCTTTTCCTGCTTTCCTCTGTCGCCTCTTCATAGAGATCCAGCTCGCAGGGTCAGGCAATTCTCCATAATCCTACAAAGAAATATGCCCTCCAGTGAATCCTCAAATTTTATAGCTAACCCCATCTTAATGGAAAGTTGATTTCAGTTTCTGTTGCTTCCTCTTCTTGGGAGTCCTGTTTAGGGGTTTAATGATAACCTCATCACTAATTAATCCATTTCTGTTTAGCCACATATCTCTCCATGATGTACATTAGGAAACTATGTGAAGCACCAAGAGAGAAAGAGGAAAAGGTAAAATGGTAGGGTCTTAACCCTTGATTTCTACAGACCACACCATGAGGGTGGTGGTGGGGACCACACTGATGGGTGTGCTTTGTGTCAAAAGAGAGTTAATGCTATCTCTCACTTGGTCGAAAACATCCTTGCAATTAGCAGCTGTAAGGATGTAATTCTGCTTTAAGAAAGTACAGGAAAAATAAATAACATTATCCCGGGCTCTTAGAAACCCCATGTACTGAAAGGGATCCAAAGAGGCTCGTATGGCAGGAAACACTGGCATCCTCTGCCAGGGTTTCAGAGGCAATTCTGATAATAGGACAAAGGGTAATGGTTTTAAGCTAAAAGAGGGTAGAGTGAGACTAGACATAAGGAAGAAATTTTTTACGATGAGGGTGGTGAAACATTGGAACAGGTTGCCCAGAGAGGTTCCATCCCTGGAAACACTCAAAGTCAGGTTGGATGGGGCTCTGAGCAACCTGATGTAGTTGAAGGGGGGTTGGGCTAGGTGACCTTTAAAGGTCCCTTCTAACCCAAACCGTTCTGTGATTTTTATAATGATCCAAGCCTGAACCGAAGCCCTGGATCTGTGCCCCAACAGACCATGCGCATATTTATACCCAGAAGGCAAATGCTGTGGGTTGTATTGCTCCTTGCCTTAAAGGTTGAGGGGTCCAAATCTTCCTCGGTTGATTATGTCCCTCAAATTAGAATAAAATGTGAACAAAATCAATCCTTATAATAAGCATTAATGATGCTAATGCTGTAACTTGTGCGTTGCACTGATTCAGCTGTTTCTTTTCCCTCTCTGGTGTAGAAGATAGAACCACGAAGCCCAACATGCTCACCTGGTGTCACACAGCCCGTCTGCTCCAGACCCTTGCAGGCACCTCATGACATACACGTCCACGCTCCCGGCCGCGGGGAGGAGAATGTCTTCAGCCACCTCCCGTTGCATTCGCAGCAGCTCACGAGGACCCCGTATCCTATGATTCCCATTGGGGGCATCCAGATGGTGCAGGCGAGGCCAAGCACCCATCCCAGCTTGGTGCCCAGTTCAGTCGTGTCCCTGCAAGCGGGATACTTTGCCTCTGGCAGCAGCGGCTTCACGGAGTTCAGCCGGGCTCCCGAGAGGGACGAGGAACCACAGGTCCCACGGGAGCCATCATCAGCATCTGTCTCCCCGGTTGCAAAGGTTTCAAAATACACACTGTCCCCAGAGCTTACGAGCAGTGGTTACATAGAAGAGAAAATGAGGACTAGTGAGCTTCAGCAAAAGACAGACCAGGAGGAATACAGGGTAAAAATGTTCGCTGAGTCTAGCCATGCGGAGCAGGCAGGCTGCTCGGCATCCCCAGCCAGCCCCAGCACAACCGACGAGCACTCTCCAAAGCCTTCGACAAGTGGGGAAGAACCCTTGAAAAAAACGGGCAAGAAGCAATCTGGCAGCTCACGCACTTCTTTTGAATCATCCTGCACTTTCATCTCAGATCTCCCCTCCCAGCCGTTGGACCGAAGCAGCAGCACCGGCTGCCTCTCAGAGCCCTCGTCTAGCCATTCGCACGCCCAGCCATTCTCCGGCCGGAGGAGAAACCTCTCCGGAGAGCCCAGCCGCCACGGGGGAACCTCCAGGAAGAGCAGTCCACACCTAGAGCACGCAGATTTAGGTCAAACTCAAAAGAAGGTGGATGAAAACACGGGAAGTACTTAAGCCTCCACCATCTGTTCCACCTTTAGGCTTCCGATGTAAAATCGACAGACATTTTCAACACTATTTCCTTTAGTATAATCATCGCTATAAGAAGCACTCTAGTGAATGACCAAACCCATGGAAGATTCCTGGTTTTCTTTGTCCCAGTCTGGTATTATCTCCACATGTATGCAGTTACTTGTGCCTTTTTCTATACCTTTTGTTGCTTGAAATGTACAAAAATGTTTGAGGCTGTGAATATTTTTTTAGAGTTTTTTGGAAAGGGGTTTGTTAGACCTTGTCTTTTTTGCCATTTAGGTGTGTGTTATTATGGGCCTGAGAGATGCAGAAAGGAAAGGGTTAAGCATTTTAAGAGGAAGAAGATGCACTGAAA